GGAAGCCCGCAGAAATCACGTAGTTGGAGCTAAGTTGAACCCGTAAAACTGCTTTGTATAACAAGTTTAATGTGATAACAGAAGAAATGCCTTTTTCATTAGGATAAGAATTGAGCATTTTTACAAGGCGACAATGAAAATGATTAGATCCTTAGTAGATAGAATTAATTTGTTGTGCACGCAGATAGTGCACCAAGATCGCGAGGCAAAATAAGGGACTGAATGAAACTCACAAAATTCCTTGGTAGCTCTCCTTTTAATAAAATTTGGACCAACCTTAGGCACAATGTTATAATAAGCAAAAATTGTTTAATTGACAGACTAATGGTTTGAAGCTGCTACAGTTTGAGAAGTGGTGAAAACACAATTCCAAAGAAACCAAATAGAACTAAAGATGAATAAGCTCTCCAATAGGCAGAAAAAAATTTCATCACAAGCATCAAAACAGTTGTGTTCTTTAACACGGAACTCAATGTATTGTTCATTTGACACTTCTTTAAAACAACTCCATAGGTTTTATTAATTCAAGAGTTTTGACCGCATTATTTGTAAATAACACTCCCAGGTGGTCGACGTACGCAATAACAATACAATTTAATTGATAGTCAGTAATATGAAAGAGGCATGGTTCAATGACAGAGTGTTTAAATCCAATGGATTTTAACTTCCTCTCATGGATCAAACCAAAGTTTTTGGGCTTGCTTCGTTCGTACAGCGCTTTACTTAAAAGTAATCATTTGTCTTCTAAATTGTCATTATGCATTATATGAAAGCCTAAGGGTATTTTGACTTTTTGATTCACTCCAAGTCTGCATTAGCATAGGCATTTTTTATAGTCAAAATGTAATTGTTTAAGGTGAGGTGCTAAAACGACAAGGAGTCTCATTGCTTCCACAGACATCACTGGACTTGTTGACTTAAATAGTCTAAATTGGTATCTGGTTGAGCCTTGGAAGCATATCCTCTATCTAAAAGTTTTGTCATCTTTATTTCTAACAACCCAAGCAGTGCCTTTTAAAAAGCCTCCCTTATGATCTAATAATGGTCATGTACTCTTGAATTCCAAAGTTAAAAAAAGCTCATTTTTCATCGCAGCGGACCAAATTTTGTTAATTAATGCTACCATTGCATCGCTTGGTAAATTTTTAATGTCAGTGTACAATGACATTGCGATAGGCTTCATGTCTTTCTCTTGGATTTCATTACATTACTCTTCATCGTCAAAAGTAACGAAACGGTCTTTAAACTTTATTTACGGTTCCTTTGGACCACTTCGGTTTTCCAATAACTTCAAATCGTACTTAAACCCGTTAGTTTTCATGATAGTTGTTTGTGTTGTCAGGTGGGGAATCCTCGTTTCTCTCTTCATCGGTCCTTTTGTTGCCGGTTAACGTTTCAGTCATTACTCCAGTTCTCACTCCCTGGTAGCTAAAAAATCATCTTCTTTCGTTTCGCTTTCATAAATGCTGTTCGGGTCTTTTATCGAGAATTGATTCCTGTTGTCTTCTGTTTCCCTGGTAGGTATTCTTCTAAGACTCGAAACTTCTTTAATGTTTCCGCTGTTTAACTAACCACCTAGTGGATAAACAATAAATACTATAAGAATTTTCACAAGCATTTAAAGTTGGTTCCCAACGAAATTCCTTTACAGCTGTAACTGAAGAGTTTCCTGGTTAAGGGTTACAGTAGTATATGGTAGACCCGAATACTTCTTAACTTATTTAAATTCGGATCTACGCTATAAAATTCTTTCCACGCAAGTGAAGTCATGTTAAGACTTGCAGAACGGTTCATTGCTTCAGCCCTGTAATGATTAGCCAATCCGTTCCTTCAGTATTGCCTTGGTCATTAACTAATAATCCAGTAAACCTCTGCGTTGGAATTGTGCGAGGGTGTATTTGGTGCTGTGTAGGTGGGGTCAATGTACCTTACTCTGCGCATATGAACCCAATTCCTCGACGTGAATCTCCCGCCATTATCGCTATGGATCTTTCTTACATTATATCTTCCCTAGCTGTACCGTTTGGTTGGTGTTGCATCGTAGTATCAATAGTAGCACCAGAAAGTTGTGTTCCTTAAAAAAAAAAATCCTCATCATACTTTAAGAGAGATGGAAAGGGGTAGTTAGCCAATAGCAAAGGGAATGATGTCTTCAAACATGTTGTATCTCTAGATTTTACGATTTTCCTTGTTATTAAATTAAGTATAGTGTGTTCATCCTTAGTAGGAACTAGCGGTTTGGAAAGAAGAATACCTTCAAGAGCCCGATCTTGAGATTTTTTTTTAAATCCATGATCATAGAACCGGATTTTACAACCTAGAGGTTTACAGTAACTGAGCTGCTGGATCTAAATTCAAAAATTTCATAAGGCGACACTCTTGCATTCTTTTTTGGGACATAGTTTAGTATGTAGACCTCGTCACGTAAAGCTTCGCTTCAGAAAACTTTTGTTCATTTAAACTATTTTAGCATGCAACGTTATGTTACACAATGTCTGAACGATCCTTTCCCTCAGCATGTATGCGGTGTATCTTTAGGCGCTACTGACATTTTAACACCTGCATTTTGTAGTTCTTAGACGTTTTTCTTTAATAAATTCACTGCCTTTGTTGGTTCTTATTTCTTCATTTATAACAGCTGTGGTAGTTTCCTCTATTTGTAAATTTTTTATGTAATTATTGTGTCTTTTAACCCATTGAATAATAATTAGAATTTAAATTTAGAATTTAAATTTCATGTTTAGACTTCGCATAGAGAATGGTGACTCGTTTAGACCTAGCGTCCGTTGCGACCATAATACACTTGTGCCCCTCATATGACAATATCTCCCATATATGGTGTCAATATACATTAATCGTCCTGAAATACGTTAATTATTAGTTTCGCTTATTTTGTTAACTTTTTTCTTCTTCATCTTAACATCTTTGGCAAAAGTCTTGATTCTAAAATACTATATACCAGGAAAAATTCTTATTAAGTAAGGATAGTATGCTCATATTTGAAGTGTTCTCTGGGGATGATGGACTTAGACTTCAGGGTTTCAAAGGTCGTGGTCATTGCTGTAGTATTTAGCCATGACCGTTATAAGAAATAAGCTATTCTCTTTTCTACCTTGAGCGATAACCTTGTTTTTCTTATTCATTAGAACTCTATTGTTTTTAAAACAGATATCAAATCCTTTTTCATTTAATTTACCCACAGAGATTAGGTTATCTCTAAAATTTTTGTCATAAATAGCTTACCATGATCTAAAATTTCAAATAATCGGCTTAGTTAGCCTCAGTGCTATCATTTAATTAATAACGTGTTTATCGTCTCGAATACCAGCCAATAATTCTCTACCTTTGATAAAATGAGGATAGGCTCCGGCGTCAACGACCATCTTTATCCCTGGTTTCGTATTTTTTGGGGAGTTATAATATAAGTTATGAAGGCATACCTCTTCAATGTGGCCAATTTTTTCCCAAAATTTGCTTGTTTGCTTAATGTTATGGGCATTGAGACCTTATTCGTTGGCACCCGACCTTTAAAACATTTGAAAGCCTGTTTTCCCAAGTAAGTTTGTCGATTACAGACCGTATTTAGGGATAGGGCATTAGATTTATTTTCAACTTTAAGCCTGTTTTCTGCTTGTAATATGGCATTCAGTGCATAATGGTAATCCTGGTTTCCAGGATTTTTACTGTAATACTGTTCTAGTGATAACTAGGAATTAAAGTCTTCTCCAACCCTGTGGGGAAGGAGTATGATTTTATGCAAGTTCGTAATTTCACTAAGATGAGGAAACAATCTTTTAAATGTGCACTGTTCTTCTAAGTGACTTAAAATATGGTCCGAACGGTTGGCGAATTAACGTATGGAGTCAGCATCCCTCTTATTTTGCATGACGTTATATTAAGTATTTTCCTCAATGTCACGAGTGACTTCCAAATGCATTTTTAACGTTTTGAATCACTTGTTCTGGATCTGTCACTCGTAACCCTTCAATTTTTGACTTAATCTAAGAGTGTGCACTGTCCATTACGATTTGCATTTCCAACAATCGCCTTTTTAAGTTTACAGAAGCAGTGGGTTCGCATTCTTCAATTTTTTCGTTTGAAAAGAATACGGCTTGGATTCCATGGGTAGACAATGCTAACTTTATTACTATAGGCCACTTCCTTAATTGTGAAGTGCCTCATAAAATTTGAATGGGAGTATGAGCTGCTCTCAAATATTAATATTAAACACCTTATTAATGATACAAGAATCGTATAATATAATCCTTTAAAGATCACCACTTGAAGGATATTGCGATAAATGCTTAATACAAAGGAGTAAAATATATTTAAAAATAAACCAAACTAAGTATGTTACAAAAAGAGAACACATAAACAAAAAGATAAACTATTTATAAAAATTTGTAAAGATAAAAAATAATAATTTTATCTGAAAAAGGTTGAATCAATAAAGGTAAATGCACCTCATTATCTCCAACTCTGCGTCAAGCTAAGATGAAAGATATATTTCTTATATATATTATTACTATGCCGAAACCACAGTTTTTCAAATAGTAGCCAAAGTTAATTACTTTCCTCCATTAATAAACACCAAAGCGGCTAATAAAACTTTACAAACCTACCCCTAGATTATTATTGAAAGCAAACCGTGAGAGATCACAAAAATTATTCCTTTAAAATATTTCTTCTCGTCATAAATTATTTTATTTTTGGCCGTATTTAGGTGTTCCTTACTAAATTACTAAGTCCAGTCTTTTTAAAAATACCATAATACACCAGCTGACAATGATACAAGTTTTATTACCTATATTTTAGGTTAGTAATAATAAAATTTAAATAGTAAATGCTTTTTATTAAACCAGCACATAAAAAGAAGAATGTTAAATATAACTTGTGACTTAAAATTTCTCACGCCCTAGAACTCTAAAATTTCCACTGTTTTTATTTTGTAATTTGTCTATTATGCTAGGCTTTATTAAATCTAGGCTGGTAACTGAGGTGAGCACGGTCATATCTGGCGAAAAGTACCTCATCCCGTCCGATCTGAGAAGTCAAATCGCCACGAGCGTGGTTAGTACTGCGGTGGGAGACCACGCGGGAACACCTCGTACTGTGCTCTTCTCATTTTTTTTCCTACTTTACAGTGTTAAATAGTAGTTTAAAATTTAAAATTAAATAAGTTGCTACATGGTGGGACCTTTAACCGGTCTATACTGCCTATGCGGAACAAATATATATAAAATTGGTTGTTTGTGAAAACTTGAAAGTAGTCTGATTTAAAAATGATGCCAAAAGCACTGAGTCTTAGTTATTTTTATTAATATTCAGCTTTGATGGGGAGTCATCAAGCATTTTTTGTATATGAAACGGAATCACATAAAAAGTTTAAAATAAATTAAGTTATGTACATAATTTCAATTTAACAAGTATTATTACATTTCAGCTGCCTCTAGTTAAATTTTAAATCCGCTTGGGGTGCTTTTATTAAAGGTTTATAAACTCGCGCATTTTTGTAAATATTTTTTTACGGAACCATCTTCTGCTGTGCGTCAAAAGACACCATAACAAAAAATTACTTGTGATTTTTAACTTAGGCATATACAATGCCTGACTTATATATTGCTTATTATAAGAAAAATTAGCGATGGTCTTAAAAATACAAGTTTTTTAAAAAAATAACTCTCTGTTGCACCTACTAGGTCATTACCCTTCTCATATCGGCATTATTAAATATAACTTTCGTTATAATAATGTGACTCTTCCTCAAGGAAGAATTTAGTAATTAGCACACTAATAAAAAACAATATTTATTACATACATACACGTTGAAAAAAAATAAAACGACAGAATTTTACTAAATCTATATATATATAATTTTTTTTTCTTTAAGGTTTGTAAAAAACCCTAAAAGTAAAAAAAATAAAACCCTTTAAATACGAAGACTTAAAAGCTATATGTTAACATCGTTTACAAATTAAGCCGAGCCCATGAAATATTTAATGTCTTGGAAACCCCCCCCTCTCTATAAGTAAAGAACTTGTTTTATCCATTATAATAATTTAAAAACAAGAATTTTAAATTCGTACACATTATACCTAAAAGTTAACAACGGAGTTATTATTTTTAATCAAAGAAAGTATTTACAGTTTTTTAAAAAATTAATTTAAAATTGCTTTACTCATTAGTACAAACTAATCAAAAAACCTTTTCCAATACATAAACGTGATAGCTAAATGTTAACAACAGCATTTACTTTAACTTTCAAATTACCAAGAAATTTGAAATGGTTTGTTAAAAAAACAAAAATAAAATTAAAAATAAAACCGGGTGATATAGAAATTATATATATAAGAATAAAAAAAAATATAATGGAGTTAGTGAAATAACAATAAAATAAAGTAATAAAAAAAATAAAAAAAAAATGAGCAAAATAAAAAAATTTATATTATAGTTATTAATAAATGACGACCCCTGGCGCTCGATCGGGTCAAAAAACCTCGAATACTCGAGCTCTCAGTTTGGAGTGAGCGCGGACATGTTACATAATAGCTTTCAATCGAAAAGCTGTCATTATTTTCTTGACATTAACAAACAAAAACTAGCGCTGTGCCCCGTCCCATGGCTCGTAAATAAGTCCGGTCACCATCAGGCGATCAGTGCGCCTGACTAGCCCGTCGTAAAGGGACATTAGCATTATGTTGGAAGACGACCACTACAGGGCCCAGCTGAAGATCCTGGTGACCAGCCTCATTTCGCACAAACTAAGGAGCGGTTGTCATCACGCACAGCAAAATTTGTTCTGTCGCACTTGAAGTGCCAACGCTATTGCAGCGGAGTCGTAGGCCCAGGCAGCAGACGTGTATGTCATTATTGGCCGGTCTGAGGCATGTACAATGACCGTTGGTTTCGCAGAGAAAGCTTGCTCTTGTCGCATAGCAAAGGGTAAAGCACCTTAGTTGCTGCCTTGACCTTCGCCATTAGATAATGCACATGCGGCTGCCAGGAAAGTTTGTTGTTAAGGATGACTCCCAAGTAGTTCGCTTGAGAACACCACGGGACTTCATGCCAATAATGGGACGCGTTCCTTAGTAATTAAAAGCGCTTTGCTCTTCATCGCATTTATGGAAACTTTCGAATTACGGCAACCAGCTAGCAACGGCGTCAAGGTAGTGCTGTAGATGCTTGCATAGCAAGATGGGTGACTTCGACGATGAGTAAATGGTCGTATCATATCGGCGTAGAGGGCGATTCGTGGGTATGTATTTGATAGCAAAGGCATGTCGCTCATATAAACTGCAAAAATAAAAGGGGCGAAAGAAAAAATCCCTGAGAGGCCCTGCCGTCAAAGATCGCAGCGGCGACTGTGTATCTCCCACGCGCCCGCGGTAGACGCGACCATTTAGATATGAATTCAGCACGTTGTAAAGGCCATGACGAACGGGTAGAGAGAGCAGTTTGTGCAGCAGACCTCCAGGCCAAACTTGATTAAATACTTTTTCAACGCCAAGGAAGGCAGCGCCTGTTGCCTTCTTAAAGTTAAAAGCGCGAGTGGTCCATATTGTTAAGCGGGGGAGCAGCTAAGTCGTTGAGTGCCCTTGCCGAAATCCAAACTGAAACTCAGGCAAGGAGTCCCGTGCGTCAATAACCTCTTTTAGACGGTGCAGTAAAACGGCCTCACCCAATTTGCCGAACGCTGACAGGAGACCGATAGGTCGGTACTTGCTAGTGGTGCTGGTGCTATATATACTGTATAGTGTGCATAGTATCGTTACTGTATAGTATAGTGCTCTTTACTAGTATACTATCTTTATAAAAAGAGTAGAGTTCGTTCTTATATTAAATGTGAATTAACAATAAACAAAGAAAGCGACCTTAAAATGTGGATGGATCTATAGAATGCCGGCAAGGAACCCGAGAGTGGCGGTTATATATATAATACTAGTGAACACTACTCTTTTGCACCATCACGATCCGAACAGAAAAAAAGTCGCTCCGAATGAGATAGTACTAGTACAAGACTAGTTTGCTGATTCCGGGTTAAGTGTCTTTAGGAGCGTCCCAACGGTCGCCGTCTTCCATCGGATCGGATAGGCGCCAAGAGCCATCGCAGATTTTACTAGGAGGTACAGATAATGCATCCCTGTTGATAGCAATTTTTCCAACATCTCATTAGCGATTCCATCGAGGTCAAGCGCTTTTCGCTTGAGTAGCACTTCGACAATCGCTTGAACCTCTCCAGCATTAACCAGCTCAAGTGGTTTATGGCCATCGGGAAGGGGAAAGCTCAGCGTTGGAACGCATCTATGGCAGTTAATTGAGCAGCTGGCACGTTTTGGGTGAAAGGAGATTATCAGAAAGAGTAGCTTTGCCTTCATCAATCTCAGTCACTATATTACCTTCACAAAGAGGAGGCAGTGGTGCAAGTCCTCGATTTTTGATCTTTTAACAAATTTCCAAAAAGAAGAGCGGCTGCTGTTGTCTAATTCGGATATATGGTGCAGCTTGGTCTCTCATTTAGTGTGAAAATGGACCATTAGCCTCTTCCTTATGCACCTGTGCAGTCGATTAAGCGCAATTTTATCTTCGGCGCCCTGCGACCACATGACCACTCGGATAAGACTTTGACGATGGCAGATAAGTGCTTTTAGTTCGTCAGGCAGGCGAATCAGGACCGTACTTCACTAGCTGCCATGGCAGTAGTGCGAGTAATGCTCAGTGCGCTTTCGAAAAAGGCGACAGCATCATCCAGCAGGGCGGGTGTAGACGGTAGTGACGGACACGGCGGGAGAGTGGTTTTTCTAAAAACTTGGCATATTTGTCTCAGTTGATAAAAAAGCGGGTGACAGTCTCCGGTGTGTCCTTCTCGTCGCCTAATTCGAGAATAACGGGAAGGTGATACGTGGAGCGCTTCAACTGCCGTTGTGAGATGTATGTCTTTTAGGATGACGATATCCAGTACGACCATTGTGCCTGTAGTTAACAAGTGTGTTGGTTGCTGGGGGCCTCCGTATGCACAGCTCGTGTTCATCAGCATAGGTCGCAAGGATATGGCCATTCGAATTATCGGCTCGGCTGTTCCATGAAGAGTGCTTGAAATTGATAACCCCGAACATACTAGCAAAGAAATCACTCGAGATAGTGTCCAAATCGGAGGGCGAGAGTAGCTTCCAAGGGGTTTTGTAGACAGCGAACACAGAAACGGGTGCCTGGTCGGCTATACACAGGAGAGGAAAATTCCCTCTACCTCGAGACTTTGTAGAGCTGGCAGAGATATCGAGTGATGTTGAATGCTCCGTATTACCAAAACAGCCATGCCCCCGCCGCGTGCATCGACCCGGTCTTGGCGATTCGTAACAAAGTTGCCCAGGTTAAATGCGACGCTAGGAAGGAGGCGCGTCTCGTGGATGGCGCACAAATCAAGTCTTTTATGTTGTAACAGCTGCTGAAGCTCATGCTTCTTACTCTGAACACCCTTTGCCATCCAGGATAATAGTCGGATGTAGCGACGCGTCTTTGGTTTAGAAACCGTTGCAAAAAAAGTCTAGTCCTTTTAAAGTTTCAAGCATGCTAGATAAATTCGTCGTTAAAATTGGGAACAGCTGCCGTAACGTCGGCTGTTACTGATCAGTTTTTAGAAGCGTGGTCAGGAACTTTAGGAACTAACGGGATAGTGGGCCAGTCTTGATGAGGTTTTGTCCTCAAACGAGAGGAGTAAGAGACCCCCCGGAGTAACGGTTTTGTTTGTAGTGAGCACCGATGGAGAGAACTTTGAGGGTTAGCTGGCTGCCTTCCGCGGATAGTACTTGCAGCCTTGGTGATGAGCGGTGTGCGCTTCACCGCAATTTGCGCAAGTAGCAGGACCAGCTCGTGCTCTCATGCATAGGGCTGTCAAGTGGCCCTCACCTCATTTAACACATCGGAGGGCCGCAGTGAAAAAGCTTGCAGTGTGCCCAAAGGTCTGACAACGATGGCGATGGCCAAACGCGATTACTCTCCCGAAGTTCCTCCATTCAAATTTTAATGGAAATAGTCTTCAGTTCTAACACCTTTTGCCTCTCACTTCTGGGTATATATACTAAAACTGGTGGTAACGATCGGTCCATACGTGCGCCAGTAGCC